TATATATATTAAAAATAGACAGAAGACCCAGACTCGTAACCAAAGCATTCTATTTCCAGTGTCCCAAAATCTCCCCCATGACAAGAGCAGAGGTGTGCACTGCACTGTGGATGTGCTGTAGGAAAAGGTGGGAGACAAGGCAGCAGCAAAGGCCGCGCACTTCTGTGGCCCCGATCCTGCACGGCCAAGTGGGAAGCAGCCCCTGAAGATGTGACCGAACAGAATGAGTAGCCTTGAAAATCAGAGGCAGCTGGAGGCTCCAAGGGCCATTCAGGAAGGAACTTCCTGGAGGAGAAGGGGAAGGGGGGGAGAGGATGGGGGGCCAGCCAAGGGATGGGTAGGGCCTAAAGGGAGAGAAAACAGCAGTGTGGGATCTTTAACTGGGTGGAAAGGAAATGACTGTTAATGGCATTTGTAGTCTCACTGTATGTCGGGCACAGTGCTGTTTGTGTCATGTGGATTAATTCTTTGAAGCTTGAGAACAGTCCTGTGCAGCAGGTATTGCCATTCCCACTTTACAGATAAGGACCTGGAGGCTGAGCCTGCAGAGCTGGAGGGCACCAGCATGCCCAGGCTGCAGGCTCCCACTCGCTGGGCCACGAGGAGCCAGGTGGATGTAGGCAGGGAGGAAGAGGAGGGCTGGTGGGCTAAGGCGGGCAACAGCGGGTGCTAGAGCCTTTGGCAACCCCAGACATGGGGGCTTCCCGAAACACAGACCTCAGGTGCTGTTGGAGAACCCTAAAATGAGACATTCTTCATCTCCCCTCAGTGCGTTGGTCTTCCAGGGTAATTGGAAATTGGTTAAGCCATTTGGGAGCTTTAGGTGCTGGCTTTTTAATATCTCTCCACTACCCGTGCGTGGAAGCTGGTGCCACCACCTTGTTCCTTCAGTCCATCCTGGGAGACAGCAGCCTGGCTTTCACTGAAGATCTGCAGCACAGTTCTCCACGCTGTACTTGCGGGGCATCCTGACAAGGTGGCAAGGGTGCAGAGGACGCACGGCTCTGCCCGGACTCGGCCTGGAGCCCAGCACCAGGGGGCATTGCCAGGAAAATCCATCCAGTGAGACCCTGATGAGCAAACTGAGGCCCAAGAGGTCAAGTGCCTTACCCAAGGCCATGCGGGAAGTGGGTCTCCAGCCTCCTAGGAAAAGGATTCCTAGCTGCCTCCAGTCCCCTAATTCTGCCCTACTTGGGTGAATTCATCTTCTGGATCAATCAAGGGACATGACTCTCTTTGAGGTTGAAGTAAAATAATAAAAATAAAACAATAAAAATAAAAAATAATAACTCTTACATTCAGCTTGACAGGCTCTGGGCCCTCAGACACATGTGTAGTTGAGGCCATTTCTCCCTAGGACTTCCGAGCCTTTCCTGCCCCTGCAGTCAAACCCCTCGACTGCTGCCTCATGCTCCACCCATGAAGGTTTGTGGGTGGTCTCAAGGCCACAAGGGACACAGCTGCACCCAGGCCCTTCGGTCACCTGCTCAGGAACTGCAGGTCCCCGAAGCATGGGCGTCCCCAGTCCTCCCTGCCTGCTAGGGCAGCAACCTGTAACCCCTGGCTTCAGATTCAGGGTGAGGGTACAGGAAGAGGGCATCATTCCCTCTACTCCTGTTCTTCTGAGCAGTGTCAGCAGAATGGTCCCCTCCGTCCTGGTTACAGAACAGAAATCCCCAGGTAAATCAGAGGTGCCAACAAATCCAGGAGGGTGGGAGGAAAGAAGGACTGCGTGATTTGCTTCCGCCAAGTGGCCAAGTCAGGATTTGAACCTGTATCTTCTGCCCTGCCATGTGACCCAGCCATTACCCAGACTGCCTACCCCCACCCACGATACTCACACTTGGCCTTTCTTGGCCTGGTAGGTGGGGGAGGGAGCCAAAGTGATCTGGTTGGGGGATTTAGAAAGAGGCACTGTCCCACCCTCGGCCCATTGTCCCTGTCCTGACCTCACGTGGTCCCCTGATCTTGCCAAGGTAAGTCTCATCCAAGTCCCTGAAGTTTCCAGGAGGAAGGAGAGGTCAGGAAAGAGCAGGCCTGCTTCCTTCTGAGAAAGAGTCCCTTCACCCACTCTGCCCAGTGGCCCAAGCACTCACCAGGCTAGGGATCTGCTAGTCCCTTTCCTCCCCAGGCAGCACTCCTGGCCTGGGAGCTCCGAGGCAGCAAGCAACCCAAGGGCAAGACCCGAGCTGCCCCCACTCCCCCACCCCCACCCCCATCTGATCTGAAACCTCGGTGCACAAGGAGGATTTCACAGGCCTGGGGCTGAAGAGTGATGGGAATTGGGGGCGGACAGCCTTGCAGGATCCAGGCTGCAATTAAAATTTCCCTCCTGGGTAATTCCCAGGCCTCCAAGGGCTGTTTCCATGGTGAGGGAGGCTGGGCCCAAAAAGACAGGCTCCTGGCAAAGCTAGGCACCCTCTTCTGCTCCTGCCCACAGAAGCCTTGCTCCTGGACAGTCCAGCTCAGATCCTGGCAAAGGACAGGGAGATGCCTGAGATGGTCCTGACAGAGGCCGGTGGGGATACAGAGGGGCAAAGGAGCAACTCATTGGCTGGTCCTGGCCCAGACTCCAGGGAAGTGGGCTACCTGGAGCAGCCAGAAACTCTAGTCCGGCCTCCCCAAAGCAGGAAGACTCTTCAAGCCCTGTGCTAGCATGATCCTCTGCTGAGAAACGCCAGGCTACTTCCACCAGGCTGCTGCCAGGGTGCTACCAGGCCCCCCCACACACACATGCACCACCACCACCCTGTCCTCTGTAAGGCCCACACTAGCTTCTATGCCAGCCCTTTCCTGGCCTGCCTCCTGCAGCCTCAGCCCACCCCAGCACCCCTTACTCTCCCTGCCCACAGGGGACTCTCCTCCTGCTGGCCCCAAGGTGACAATTTGCACAGCCCTGGGTGGACCTAAAGCTACAGGCCCTCCTGGCATGTGCCAGCAAGGCAGGTATCAGAGGCAGA